GCTGTGTGCATGTGTCTGTCTGCCTGTAACTGTGTGTGTGTGACTGTCTGTAATTGTGTGTATCTGTCTGTATGTGTGTGTGAGACTGTCTATAACTGTGTGTCTGTCTACTTGTGTGTGTCTGCATGTAACTGTGTGTATCTGTCTGCCTGTACCTGTGTGCATGTGTTAATGTCTGCCTGTAGCTGTGTGTGTGTGTCACTGACTTCCTGTACCTGTGTGTGACTGCCTGGAACTGTGTGTTTCACCATATACATGTAACTGTGTGACTGTGCGCATGTGGCTGTATTTGACAGTGTATGCGTATAACTGTGCATCTTACTGTGGTACTGTGTGTGAGCCTGCAAAAATACACACCTGCATTCACACATGGACCTACATGCATATTTTTATCTGAATTAAATACCCATCACACATCCAATAAACCCAGCACAAATATTACACACAACAAGTTAAATATATGCATACATATATCACACACAGCCAATACACCCATTACAAATATCACACACAGCCAGCACATAGCATACATATCACACACAGCCATAACGCCTCTTTACACACACTATACATAAATGAAAAGGTATGACCAGGGAGAGGCGCTGTGAACATTTTTTGCACAGGGCGCCTAAAGGCCTAAGGCCGGCCTGGTCACTATCGAATAAATGAGAAAAAAGAGAACTGCCAGGAGAGAGAAAAAAATAACTGTATTGCTGGTGAAATGTCAAATATCAACCAATTTGGCTAGGTATTTTTAAAACTAAAATGTAACTTTTAATATAGCAATTAAGAGGTGAAATAAGTTACCATGACAAAAAGAAAATTGAAACAGAAATAATAATGTACATATTTACAAAGCAATTATCTGGAGTGTAGCTATAATGTCTGTTTATGAAAATCTGGTAGTTCTACCCAAAGATAGGGATAATGAATACAGAGTAAGGTAGTACAGGCTGTAGCTTTGTGAGTTCAGGCTAATAAAAAGACCATTTGTAGCAGACCAGCATGATAAGAATAGAAAAAAATCTAAACTCCAAACAAAGGGATAAGGGGACGGCTTCTTCCCTTTTGAAAAAAAGTAGTATAAAACAATGTGCTGTGCTGCAATAAGATATCAGAAACAGGGGCGGATCCAGAACCCAATCTCGGGAGGGGCATATGGTTATTTATAGAAACAATCCAGGCACAATGTAGTGGTTATGGTGCCACGAGTGTTGTGGCACCTTCTCAGAGTAAGTAGACAAATTGTTTAAAAACAGTTTGAGACTGTCGAGGTAGGTAGGGTCTGTAGTAGGGGACAGGGGCAGTAGTGTGTGTGGTGTGTAACGTGTTAAGGGTGTAGTGTGTGTGTGCGGGAGGGGTACTGTGTGCATGAGGGGTGTAGTGTGTGAGAGGGATACAGTGTGTGTGCGAGAGGGATACAGAGTGTGTGTGAATGAGGGGTCTAATATGTGTGAGGGATACAGTTTGTGTCTATGAGTGGTGTAGTGTGTGAGAGGTGCAGGGTGTGTATGTTTGGGGCAGTGTGTGTATGTTTGGGGGGCAGTGTGTGAGTGAGAGATGCTGTGTGTGTGTGTGTGTGTGTGTGTGTGTGTGTGTGTGTGTGTGTGTGTGTGTGTGTTTAAGGGGTGCAGTAAGGAGTGCTGTGTGTGTGAGTGGATATTGTGTTTTGGGGGTAGGTGGGAGCAAATGAAATTTATTATTTTTTTAATTAAAAATGTATTAAATGTTATATCCCCCGCTCCCTTCTTAACTTTGCTCAGGGAGGGGGGACATTTCCTGCAAACCCTGATGGTCCAGTAGAGAATCCCTGGTGGTCAGGTTTGAGTGAAAGCATGCAGCTTTGACTCATAACTCTCTGATTGGTTACTTAATCCACCAATTAGAGTGTTATGAGTCAAATTACACAGCGTGGGAAAATTCCAAAGAGCTTTCGCACACTGTGTCAAATGACACAGAGCACTCTGATTGGTGGATTTCAAACCAACTAATCAGAGTGCTGTGACAGGTAAGTGTAGAGACTTACCTGTCAGTCTCTTCATTTACCTGTCAGAGCACTCTGATTGGATGGCTTAAACCCACCAATCAGAGTGCTCTGAGCCTAATTGCAGGGCGGGACAAGGCTTTATAAACCTTCCCCTGCCCTGCAGAGCTCAGTCTGCGTGGAGCCCTTGCCGGGTGAAGAAGGATTTTTTTTTTTGCGCTTGGGTTTGTTTTTTTAATTGCGTCGGTTATTATGGATTTTTATTTGGCCTTTTTTGGGGCTGAAAAAAGAAGATTTTAGAAGAAAGAAAACATCAAATGGTAAGTTTATTTTTATTTTTACAGGTACTTAGTTAAAGGTCGTCCCCCCTCCTTATTTTTAGGGTGAGGGGGGTAGGTAGGTGTTTATTTTTTGGGTAGGGGGTGACTAGGGGTTTGGGGACCCCTAGTCACCAGGGGGAAGGGGGGTTAAATTTGTATTTAGGGCCTCCACCCACTGTTTAGGGGTGGGGGCCAGGGGGAGGACATTAGGTCCCCCCCTTATTCTTGTTTAGGGTCCCCACCCATTGCTCAGGTGTGGGGGCCAGGGGGAGGACATTAGGTCCCCCCTTATTCTAGTTTAGGGCCCTCACCCACCGCTCAGGGGGAGGACGACATTAGGTCCCACCCCAATTTGCATTTAGGGCCCCCACACTCAGGGGTGAGGGCCAGGGGGAGGACATTAGGTCCCCCCTTATACTTGTTTAGGTCCCCCACCCACCGCTCAGGGGTGGAGGCCAGGGGGGAGGACATTAGGTCCCCCCCCCTTATTCTAGTTTAGGGCCCCCACCCAGCGCTCAGGGGTGGGGGCCAGGGGGGAGGACATTAGGTCCCCCCAATTTGTATTTAGGGCCCCCACCCACCGCTCAGTGGTGGGGGCCAGGGGGAGGACATTAAGTCCCCCCCCTTATTCTTGTTTAGGGCCCCCACCCACCGCTCAGGGGTGGGGGTCAGGGGGGAGGACATTAGGTCCCCCCAATTTTTATCCTCCCCCATTTTTTTACTTTATGCAGTGGGTGAGCAGCAGCGGGTGGGGGCCAGGGGGCAATTTTTTTTATTTTTTTTAACAGTGAGAAGCCACAGGCTGCTCACTGTTTAATAGACATGCCCCTATTAATAGTGCGTAGGGGCTTAATTTACTAATACTAAGTAATCTTTACTTAGTATTAGTAAATTTGGCTGAAAGACCAATTCAGGTCTTTCAGCCTTTTAGTAGATAGCTCCCTAATACCATGGGAATTAGGGAGTTATCTACTTATTCATTCCTGTCATTACATGACTGGCCAAGTAACTTCAATTTCATATGAATGTATGTTACTTGATTGTTGTAAGTGTTGCAAATGCTTACAGCTGAATCCTGGCTATGTTTGTATACTTTTTATTTAAACTGGTATACAGTGTAACATTCTTCTTCTTTCACTGGGTAAGTATATTACTACTTAGGCAATACTGTCCTTCGAATATTGGAGCTCCAATGGGGTGTCTGAAAAGATTAAAGAGAGGAAAAAAAACAGTTTCTGAACCCATTAACCCTTTAA